TTGCTCGCGGCTCCAAAGCCGCCAAGAGTGCTGGGTAGATGCTTCCCTCTTCCAGCCCACCGGCTAGCGCGACTGCATCCAATAGGTCAGGCCTGGCCCTCCACGGCGATGCGCTGCGAAGGGGCTTCAGCGTGCGACGGCCCAAGACTGCACGCAACCCAGCGGTTAACCGTCGCCTATGCCCCATGGCGAGCGCTAACTCTTGCTTCTGCTCAACAGTCGCTGTGCGCGCGCCGCTTGTAGCAGACTGACCCAGCCCAGTCGCTCGCTCGACTTGATGCAACCTGCGAACCGCCCAGTCGGTATCCAATGAGACCAAACTGACCCGGACCTGTTATAAAGACTGGGGCGGCACTGAACGGCCCGAACATTCGAGACAACCGCTCAGCGCTCACCAGCATGACCGCCCGCCTCATACAGAGAAAAGACTGAACAGGTTATGCAGCCTACTCCGGATTCCATCAAGGTAAGAATATGCAACGTATCGATCCAACGTCAAAGTAGGCTCTGGGGTCAAATATCTCATAGCATGCTAGATTGCAGTGAGCCTAGCCTACGACCAGCATAACACGACTACTGTAGGCTTGGCTTCGGCATGCCGATCTCTCACCCCACGCGGCTTCCCTGCCGCTGCCCTCACTCTTACTGTTGATTGTTGATGGTTCCTCATCCGGCCTGGCGCGCCTTCCACCGTCGCATCGCCACTTCCTCGACCACTCCTCGCCCTCTTCCCAGCCCAGCCTTCTTCGTCAGCAATCTATCCTCTGACCATCTCGTATTGATGACTGGTCATGGGCGCTCGTCGGCCTGCTTTCCTCGCGCGAACCATCACCATGTCTGCTCTCCTCACACCCCGTAATTGCACCAGGGAGCCCAGTCCACGCTCTCGGCTTTACACACGCCTGTCGGCACTTTGTACCTGCCTCGACGTCTTATGCGACCTCAGATGATGTACATGTGCAACCACGCTGCGACCTGGAACCCCCGCAATTCGCCATTTGCCGTCACTACGTCACTGCTGACCGTTCCCAGCGAACCCGTACAGACATACAGCGTAGTCATAGCGGTGAGACATTTGCCTACATCCCGCGCCTGATTACTCCTCCTCGACATACACCTGCTCACCTGCCTGCACATCAATGCTCCATCCTTCGCGGAGCATCGACGCCGATCCAACATCGCCGCTTACCGTCAGATGGGGGCTCCAGACCGAGAAATCAGCCCACCTCCCTGGCTCCAGTCGTTCCTCCCCGCCTCTCCGGGCCTGCCTCGGCTTCTTACGTGATACTCCGGCCTACCAGGGTGCATGCCTAGACCGATGTGTCCGACGACACCAGGCAGGGCTGTCCGTGAGAAGTGGCTGAGGCATACAGTCTGGCCTTGGTGGAATTCTTGAAGTCGATTCTTGTTCCACGGATACTGTCATGGAGGGCAGGTGAATTGCTATGCCACTTGCGATGTCTTACTCATTTCCAAGAGAACAGTGCGTCTCATGTGCTGGTATTGATGTCGAGACTCTCCCTTCACACATCGTTCGTTGGTCCATGATGGTAAATCGAGAACATTGCCGATCTGGTCAATGTTTCGCAGGATATGCAGCACTCTACAAAATACTGGGCTCTCACAAACACCTCTCCCTTTGTCACAGGTAGCTTGTTAGTGTGCGCAGTCCTTGGTCGTGGCCGACCTCGGGAATCAAGAGGTGATGCAAGCATGCGTTTCGCCCTTTGTCGCTTCCACATTGCTCGCGACTCCAAGTGGTGAGGCAGTAGCGGAGGAACTCAGTTGAACCAGCGAGCAGGAACCAAGGTGAAGCACGCCTACTCACCCACCAACAGCATCGTCCTTCGTTCTACACACCAACATCATCCACACAAAGCTATCGTCAACGAGCCCCTCTTTATCAAAATCTTACTATGCAATCAGTCTACGGTTTTATCAGGTATACATCTCGCTCATCTGTTCGTCAAACCGCCAGTATGTCTTCAGCCAACGGTTCCGTTGCGCCCACACCGCGTTCACCTCCAATCGTCTCGTCCCCAACCTTCGCCGGCCCGTCAAATTTCTCATCCAATCATAAAGGCAAAGGAAAGGCCCCCATGACCAACGACACCAGCAATGGCGCCAGCAACGGCAACACCAACGGCAACGGTATTTGCAACAGCAAAGTCTACACTGCAAGCCACGGCAACAGCAATAACAACAGCAATGACAACAGCAATAACAACAGCAATGACAACAGCAATGACAACAGCAATGACAACAGCAATGACAACAGCAATGACAACAGCAATGACAACAGCAATGACAACAGCAATGACAACAGCAACGGCAGTAGCAACGGCAGTAGCAACGGCAACAGCAACAGCAATGACTACACTCCAAGCTACGGTATCGGAAACTTGACGGAATATCTCATCGACGTCAAGACGCTCACCAAGCTCTGCGACCTCGGCGTATCAGAAGCCGCCCATCTCGGAGCCCTTCTCACCGAGCGCTACAAATCCCTGAACGAAAAGCAAACCCGCCGCATGGCAACCGCCGAAAAGATCATTGACGAAGTCGAGACCATGAAAGAGGGACACAACGTTTTCGACAACAACGTCGTCAACCACTACGACCGCTTCGTCAAAGAACTGGAGGCAGCTGAGACCGCCATGTACGACGGAATGAAGGTAGCCATGTATACAGATGCCGCGAAGAGCGCAAAGCTGGCCCGAGAGAACTCCGAGTTTGCCAGGAATTTGCACAAAAAGATCGAGGTGTTGAATGGTGAGTACAAGGCCAAGAGAGACGAGATTGTGGCTGCGAGGGATGAGATGATTGATATCCTTTACGGTGCTGTTATGCGGTGCATCTTGGTGGGGTCTGGTGCTGTTGAGAGTGAGAACGATAAGGGGAAGTTGTTGAGTTTGTTCAAGCGCTGAAGACACTGGGTTAGACCGAGTAGTGTTGCTGCGAGGGTTATCTGGTATGGTAGTTTGAATGTACACTGCCAATTCTTTCGCTTTGGATCGTCTCAACATTTTCGCTTCACTAATTGAGGCAGCCGTGCATGAGCGCCAGGCTTCGCCAAGCCAATAAGGCCAACCTTGCTGCCTAAGCCACCGTTACACTGCCCCTCGGATGAGCTCCGCCACAATCTTGCAAAAGCAAAACCCATCAACATCCTGTGTACGTGACATTCAATCCCCAAATCAAGTACCTCATGGTTGGAAGCCATCGCAATCAATAACACGTCTTCTCCAAGGTTGACACGTATGTTGCTCCTCATCATCACACAGGCATGATCAGCGTAGATTGTAGCCTCAGTCATCTCTGAATCGATCACTATGGCTGCGCCGGTACGCAAAGACATTCTTACCTTACCTAGGTATGTGAACTGATGGTCAAGCTGATTCCAGTAGGTTCACACGGGTGGTGCGGAACACACGGTGCCCAACATCGAGTCGCCAAATAGGTATCGGCATCAAGCTCTGGACACCTCCACTCGGCAAATCCGCCTCATCAAATTGCGTCCCGGTCAATCGGATCAGCCACACTGCGACATATCCGTCTTTGATTTGGACAGCGCACCACCTTTCGTGGCTCTCTCGTATACGTGGGGTCCTCCGTCGCCACAGTTCGACATACTGATCAACGGCGAGTCTCTCAGCATTAGAGAAAATCTCTTCCAGTTCCTCCAAGTCTTTATGGTGACTACAGAGAGAGATTGGATGTGGAAGCCATACAGAAGCAATTACCTGTGGATAGACCAGATCTGTATCGACCAGTCCAGCATACTTGAACGAAATCACCAGGTCGGAATGATGGCATCAATTTATTCTGGATGTTACGAAACCATCATCTGGCTTGGAAACATTCACAACAACCCAGATGCGCCGTGCATCATCAAGAAAATGGGACATTCGTCGGTCCCCATGGAGGACTTATTACAGGCTGGAGCATCTATTGCAGAAAATGATTACTTCAGTCGCCTTTGGATTGTACAGGAGGTTATATTGTCGAAAAGGAAGAGAGTACTATGCGGCCACCCCTCGGTCGGTGCTGTCTGGGTAGACTGGGTCATTTTGAGTTTCATAGTGAGCCATTCCAAGTGTCGCACCCGTTCGACAGCCGCAGGTTATCTGGCACGAAGACTTTCTGACGACTTGGTGAGTCTACCACACGCAATTCTTCGGTTCAGCCAGAGTCATTGTCAGGATCCTCACGATAAAGTGTATGGCTTGATGGGGCTTGTAAAAGCAGAAGAGCGGCTGGAAATCGACTATGCAAAGCCATTGAAGGATATCTTCCTCAGGTTGATGATCGCCTTCAGTAAAGAGTCGGTGTTTGAATTGGTTAGTTCCCCCACCGATTATCAAGACGCATTGGTGAACTTGGGAAGAAACTGGAAAATCATTTCTGAAAGCTTGAACGCACTCCTACACGATATGTGGATCAAGCCGCGTCACACTTCGTTTTCTTATAGTCCGGTGTTAGAAGACTGGGATCCCAGCATCGACGCAGACGATCCTAGCTTCGACACCTTAGCCCGAGTTTCAGATATGGGCTTTTGCCCCAGTTCTCTGCATGAGAATGTTGTGCTGGAGTGGGAATTGCTTCCCTACAGCTCCTCAGCGAGAGGAGATTCATGGCACCCTGAACAGGATGCATGGTTACCAACGGAAGAATGCTGGTGGTATCGAATTGGTGACACTATCTACGAAATATACGGCTTGGAGAACTCGGGATCTCTTCATGGCGAGAACACAAAGCCAGCATACTATGGTAAAAGAGTACGGAAAAGACACAAAGATTGGAGAAGTCGGTTACACGTACTCTCTTCGGCAGATACTTGATTATTTCAACGTAGGGGACACTACCTGCGTTTATGTCTAGGCCATTGTGCTGGGATTGAAATGCTGCAAGTGAAAGAGAGCTGCACTAGATACGACCAGCACGGCTATAACCTTGGGAAAATTGGCTTCTGAGTGATATTATTAAATGGCCTTCCAGTCTCAGACATTATTACCTGTCGCAACACCCCAGAAGTACGCCGCCCACGAGCCGACAACCAAGAACAACAGCGCGACAAACAACGACAAGCTGATCTTCCTGTTCCTCTCGCCAGCTGCACCACACTCAAACTCCTTCCTCCGCATATTGATAATCTCGCCCTTCCTGATGCGCTGGCGCCTAGTCCACTGGAGATGCCCGAGATCGCTCGTCCAGAAGCAGCCAACGAACATACTCGCGGCGACCACGACCGAGCAAGCAGAGAGCACAACATATACGATCACGACGTTATCATATGAGTTTTCGTCGCGATCTTGGATGACACCCGTGATAATCCGGATGATGATGGACATGGCGTTGTTAACGGCGATCTTGACAGCATAGCCAGAGCCAAAGACTTCTTGGTACCACATCGACGTGCGAATCGAGTCGATGATGACCGTCGGGCCAAACATGGATGCGACACCGTAGATGCCGAATGAAGCTGCGGTGCCGGAGTATGTCGGGCCCCATGTTGCTAGACACATGGATAGCAGCATGCCCAAGCCACAAACCAGCATCAGGGTGATGCGATTGCCAAGGATGTCTACGAAGATGCCGATGATGGGAACGAGAAAGAAGCCCAGGTACTGCGCGAGGGAAGAGTACCATCCAGCTTTGACGGCATCCATATCGAAGCGCTGCTCGGCGAACTCGGTCGCGTTCTGAGCGAAGACAGAGGCGGTACTAGTCTGGAAGAGAGAGAAAGCGACGATACTCCAGAAAGTCCATGGAAGTCGCAAAACCTTTCCGAACTCGAACTTCTTGTTGTTCTCCGTGAGCTGTTCTCCGGTCGCCGGGTCAGCTGTACCGGTATACTTCTTCCCGCACCAGCGCGTGAAGAACCAGTACAGCAGAGTAGTGACATTGGTGAAGAGGTTCATGAACACCGCGACCCAGTACACCCAGCTGAAGTCGCCAGTGTTCTTCGCAATAACGTTCGCCGTAGCCTTGCCGACGAAAGATCCGATCTTGCCGATGCCGAGCTCGAAGCCTAGGGTGGATGCGAAACCATTGGAGGGTGCGAACCAGGAGCTAAAGACTTTGTACTGCGCGACTTGTGTGGCTATGTCGCCGAATGCCTGGACGATGGATCCGAAGATCATGAACTTGTATGAGCGGACGGTCGTGGCGGCTGCGATGAAAATGGCGCCGATGCTGTAGATGGCGTTGCCCCAGAGCATGGCACCTACAAGGTTTTCTGTCAGTGTCGACGTGACGTAAGAGGTGAGGGAGACGAACTTGCACCACCAATCCTATCTGTGACAAGACCGCTGACGAGTATCAGAGCGGTCTTCATAAAATCCTCGCTGGCTTCCAGCACGGAGTACTGCGCGTTGTTGATGTGCAATTCCTTCTCAATGTCAGCTAAGTATCCATAGCAGCAACCATGTGATCCATACCTTCTTGACCGTACTCTTCATCGCACCAGTAACACCACTACTCCAGTGCGACCCAAACCCCGTTGCCGTAACCAGAAGAATAGCAATAAGCTTCATCTTCAGCGGAATCGCCTCGCTCTTATCGCTGCCACCCCGCCCCTCAGACGACGCATCACTGCAAGCAACCACCTCTCCAACTTTCTTCTCAGACTCAATCGGCCTCTGGCCCTCATTGTCTACCGACCTCACAGAATCGGGTCGTACAGCCATCGCCCTTCCTTATCGCAGTTGAAAGATGATCTGATAAAAAGAGCGTTGTCCCTGCGTTAAGACGGCGCCTGCGATCCCATTTTAGTACTGCCGAACGGGAAAGGAAAATCTCGACATGGCTCCGCTTCAGGGCAAAGACGGGTCCCTTTGCGGGCCGTTTTGGCTTGGTAGCATCGAGGTGTAGGTTGGGTCCACTGTGTGAGACTGTGCGTCTTCGTATACGCCGGAGGGCTGATACCACCGGGAGATTACCGTGGTGGGTGCGATGTCGCATTGTTGGATTTGTGTATCCATTTTGTCGTGGTGTTGTTGATGTGTGCAACGAGGGCGCTATTGATTGTTGTTTAAACTGCAGGGGCTTTGCTCGTAAGTCTTTTTCGACTGTTACTCTTGTCTGAACTTTCCAGGAGTCGCGGTCGTAGTTCTGTATTCGGGAAGTTCGACGCCCACCGGCTCACCACGCCAAGCCCAAGAAGGCAAAGTGCAGAACAGAAACTTTTATCAGATCATCTTATCAGCCCGAAGATTAGATCCAGCCCCCGAAGAACCAACGCTACCAAATCATCGTGGGTCACCGGGAGAACGCTTATCATTCTTCTGCATGAAGTCCATTTAGCTTCTAGAAAGCTGTTCCTACCCAAAATTCCAATCATGTCCGAGCACGAACAACCTCAAACCCTACATGCGGCAGCAGCGCAGGAGCCTGGGAACAATTCGGCGTCGCCCTCACTCACATCCATACACCAAAACAGCATACCCTACGTCCGTTGCGGTGAAATGCCCCCTGATCCCTCCTAAAAAGTTGCTGGCCCTGTGCGACCAGGTAGATTTGCGTTCTACAACGGCCCGTTTGACTCCTTCGGACAAGTAAGTCTGCACTGTGGGTGTGCAGAAATGCTAATGAGGGTATGTGTATTTGGTGCATGGAATGAGTGAGGTGTTTCTGATCTAGGCTCGTGACGATGAGGAGAAGCGTGGGATGGAGCTTGTCTGCTGTGTCTGAGCCGGTGAGAGGGGACTGTGCTGATTGCGCGCTCTTGACGAGGTCAGTCGTCGTTCATGGTGAGGCGCAATGTTGTTCAGTCACTCTCTGGTGTGATGGTAGTCGGAAGGTGTGAGCGCGACTCATTGTCGGATCACTTTACGAAAAGCTTGGCAGGCGTACCATGGAACATGGCAACCTCGTTGGGCTCGGTACACTGGATATCACGCGCACGAAAGAGAGAAACCTGATTATTGGAAATTCAGTCCAATGGATTCGCTATGAATGCCTCAAAGCCTGATAGGCTCGAGTGTGGTATACGCCTTCCAGCGCCAAACGCCTTGCCAATGCCCATCCTCCCACTGCTCATGCTCGTATCATAGAGACCAACTAGCAATACCACTAGCATAGTACCACTGTATACCTCTGCCCCAGCTTGCGCCCCCGTCTAGTCCAAATCCTACAAGTGACGAGGCGGAAGTCCTCCATATGTCATGTGCTCAAACGGATCGCTGGCGAGAACAACCTAAACCTCGCCCCGCAGCTTCCTCTCGATCTCGTCCCTCAAGTTGACGAGATCTTGCTCTGTTGCCTCGAATTCCAATCCTTGCTTGACCCACTGCTCTGCCTCGTCCAGTCTGCCCATCTCGAGCAGGCACTTGCCCCGCCTCCACCAGCCCTTGGCGTTGCCCACCTTCTTCATCTCTACGCTAGCTTCAGCGTCCACTGCGCCCTCTGCCCAGTTCTTGAGTGCCATGTTTGCTTGTGCGCGGTTGCTGAGCAGTCCAGAGACTTCTTCTCTGACGAGACCTGAAGGCTCCCATGCTGGGCGTGCGAGCGCCATGTCAATTGCGAGGGTGTAGAGCTTGCCCGCCTCTTCGGGCTTTCCTTTCCTGAACTCGGCGTTGCCCGACTCGCGCAGCTTGTTGATCTGGGCGGAACGCTTGGGGTTGACGGGGACAGGTGGCGGTGGTGTGCCTGTGGGAGTCTCGACGTGCAGGAGGTTTCTGTGGAGGTTGTTCAGGGCGTCGAGCTCGGTCTGGAGGGCGTTGCTGGTGCTTTGGGATGCGGTGATGGTGCTGGTTTGCGGGTCCATCTCGAGAGGGAGAAGCGTGAACGTGTCTGGTGACTCCATGATTGATGTGTGCTTGATTTGTGTTGGAGTGGGACGTTTATGGGGCCGTAGCGATATGTGCGTGGGTAGAGGACAGGTTGGCGCAAGTCGTGGTTTGGTGGTGGGCCATGAGGACAGTTGGATAATTCCCCGGCGGTGTTATCGATAAGCCGGAATGCGCGCTAACACGTGTCTTGTCGCTTTCACCCAACCTCACTTTCTCATCACACCCGACTGCCAACCATCACTCGCATCTCCATCATTCTGAGGCCTTATCAATATCCTGCGCAAATCCATGATGCCACGACGTCAGCGCAAGGCTGCGTGGCTCCACGAGCACAATGCACCGCATTCTTCTTCTTCTATCAACACCATGAAAACGTGGGCCTTGTCTGTCTTACTGATGCTGCAAACTTGACAATCTGACTAGAACCGCTTCTGTCGCATATGCCTGGATCAACTCAATTTGTCGATGCATCTCGTTTATACCTGCGCTTTCGCACCGGCCGTGCTTGTACCTTACGGTCTGCTACCATCCTCCAAGACAACTCACCGGGGTTCCATGTCTATCGATCCGTTTGTGTATTCGAGACATGACTTTGAACAAACACTGTCTCTTTCGTAGCCACTGTCTTTCATCTTCCAGTGGCTTGCTACAAGCGCGCATGAGCATACTGACTTATTATAACTAATCCACGTCTGGCCTACCAACTTCTTCCTCCACCTTACCACAGGCTCAACATCAGCAATCTCAACTACCTGCGCACGCGTAGCATGGCAAGATACACGGTCAACGTCGCAGCTGGAGGGCGTAGAGCGAGCTTACTCGTTGTACTTTCCCCATCTCAGCTCTGCTCAGCCTTACACGATGGCATCAGATCACGGTTACCAACCTTAGCGGACAAATTGGGAATCACCGACACGAAAGAGCCCCGAATTACTCTGCATCTCAAAGGAGAAGATGGGCCAATGCTGGATATCGAAGACCTTTTGTCTGACGTCTTACCCAACCCCGAAGAGATTGTATACGCAATCATCGATGTAAGTCGACGGCAAGTTCATTTTGTTTCAATTGCCAGGAACTCTAAATATGCGGAAGACGCTAACTCACTCTAGACTCACGATAAGAAGCCCGCTTCATCGCTTCCATCGGAGCTGGCCACGTCTGGCGAAAAAGACAGGACAATACGCGTTCGCGTCATCACCCCAGAGTTGGCTCATTCCAATTTCGAAGAGATTCCCATGGTACCCACGCATGTATCGACCACCTGCACTTTGTTGCGATTGAAGGGTATCGTTCGAGAACATCTGGGGCTCTCGACAAAGCACACTGGTTGCCCAGCTCTGGAGTGTAATTGTAGACTCGCTCAGTCGATCGACGAAAGCGCTGTCCCCAACGTCAACGGAACTGGGGATTACGATGCTCTTCGTACAGCCATCGTAGTCCATTCCAACAACATCGTCGTCGCTATCCCAGTAAAGGATATGAAACTCAGCACCATTCAGCAAGCGACGAACTCGTACATGATAGACACCCTGCACCAAGATCTCACCGGAAAGGTCATCAACACTGTCGGTGGCATCGTGGACGCGAGCGATCAATCTGACGGGGATAAAAACTATCTCAAAGCTCCAGTGATGGCTATCTGCTCGTGGCGATGCCGTTCGCGCAGTACCCTTGAACACGCTGAAGACGAGGTTACTCAACGAACCCTAGTTCTCGACGTGCACACATCCGAATGCCCTATAAACATCACCGCACATAACGCTGAACTCACCATCGAAGCCGCTGGACTGGAAGATTGCGCTATCAACGGTGTGCTCAATATTTACGCCGTGCAGCGATGGACGCTGGGTCGGAATGAGAGCCTCGGTCGAGGTAAGGCCGCTATCTTCAAGAAGTCAGAGGCCTGGAAACACCGCATCGGTCTGACCGAGCGCGGACTTGCCAGTCTTCTGTCGACATTGCGTATATTCACCGAACTCGTTGGAGGCATGGAGTTGAGAAGAGAGGATGCAGTTCTGAGGGTAGTCCACCTCCTGACACAGTTTCCTCCTGCTGTTCGAGCTGTACGCATCCTAACGCGCGGCGAGACCCCCAAATTTCCAGAACGTGCCGCGTTGACACAGTGCCTATACGAGATCCTGAAGAAGGTCGTCCCACTGCTAACGGTCCGTTCTGACACCAAGCGATTCTTCGAAGGATCTCGTCTTTTGTTCGGTCTCATACTGGAGAAAGCGAAACAGCTGAAGATCACCAAGCAAGATTCTAGGCTACCTTACGTTGGCATGAAAGTTTACGACCTGCGAAACTTCATTACCTCGCAACCCGTCTTATCGGAGGCTGTGCAGACTACCAACGGTCTCGCCAGTGCTGGTTTCTACGAAGCATTCAAGGAACAAGGACTTCTTAGATGGACGAATGAGAACGCCTCAAAGAAGGTACTGGCACCCGATCCGGTTTGGGACCGGATTGCTAAACTGTCAGGCGGTACCAGGGTACAAGTCTTAGTGTTCAACCTCGATGCCATCAGGACCAACACTCGCTATATGGACGGCGGCGACATCGGTAAAGTCATCTCACCTGCAGAGTGGACAGATCTCACATATCTGGCCAATCTCTGTAGTCGCAACGGACTGAGCGTCGCACCCCCGGCAAGTCTAGCTTCCGTTTCGGCTCCTGTCTTGACCCTGGATAGAGATGGCTTCCTTGCTGCATATTTGGGTCGTGCGGGCTGCGCAGAGGCTGGTAAAGACATGCTCATCGCCCGGCCATCAAGCGCACACGAAGAAGAGGTAGTGGATGTTTCGATCATCACTCGGTTGTTAGAGCCAATCCTTGCCCAACGTAAGGCTGATGGAACACTCGTCTTTGAGGCGTACGGCGATCACCATCGCAAGCTGACGGACCCGGAAGAGCTGACGATGATATGCGTGGACCTCAGCTACAGTATGAATGACCGTTGTGGCTTCATCGACATACAACGCAGTGAAGACGCCGACGAGGAGACCCAGCGACAGATACAGTCTGCTGAGCACGCGGCTCAAACTCTGCTTCCGGAGAACCCTGCTTTCTTTCTGGCCGGTCCCGATGAACTGAAAGAGTATCTGAGGTCCCACGAGTCGTACGATGACTTCCTTGCCATCATTGGCACGGGTACAGACGATTACCATCGCCGTCAGAACGCCGAGAAGGTGCTGGACGTCCTTACGCAACTCCACGATCAACAAATCCATGCTGAACGGGAAAATTTGGAGAAGCTTAGAGAACAAGCCAGCCGATCTTCCTTCCGCAGCCAGTCAACATTGATTGATCGCGACATAAACGTTCTCAATAACCGGTCTCTCCGTCTGAAGAAGTACAGAAGCCTACTTTGTGCCTGGCTGATGACTTGTGTGGGTAATGCATCTGTATCGGATCCGTTGTTGTGGAAGCCAGGCGAGGAAGTTCCAAAGATCTACCAAGATCTCCCTAGGAAAGTTACGACTTGTCCCAAGTTTGAGATACCGCGAGAGTATTGCTGCCCGATTAGCAACGATATAATGCAGGATCCCGTGACTACCGTGGACAACTTCACTTACGAGCGCGGAGAAATCGAACGATGGCTTCGTACTAATGAGCGTTCGCCATTCACCAACCTGGTTCTTCCCAGCAACGACCTGCGACCCAACGTGGAACTACAGGAACGAATCGTCGCGTATCTAAATGGCTCAGATATTCTGTCTAAGTACGCTATACATGGCGCGAGAGCAAGTGCCCCATCGCAGACACTTCGCGTTACTCTCAGATCACCTTTGGAGACACGCTCGATGGATGTACCACGCGATCTGAAATCTGTAGAATTGTGGGAAATTGCATTCCGGCTAACCAAAGGCCGATATGCAAGCTACGAGCTACGACATCAAAATGCTCAAGTTCCGACCACCGAAGAACCCGTCGCGGCTATGATCGACACTGCGCATGAGGTCTTCGTTACGCCAACAGCCCCGATGTCTTCGACCAAGGAAAGAGACGTGGAGGAACTGTGCCTTGTCAAGATCTACCGCGGTGGTCTTCATGAAAGCCCTGTAGTATCTTATTGGGTGCCAAAAATGACTACGCAATCTCTAGCATCAACGGTATTCCGATATTATCGCCAGAGGTTCACGGAGCGGTCGACATCTCTCGTTGAAGAGCCTTTTGTCTTCTGGACCAGAATGCAGGAAGCTGGTGATTGTTGGTACAACGGTATCCCTGTTCACGAACATTGGACACCGATTTCATCGTATTTCAATACCCGAGACTCGAGAGGTAGAGTGTCTCACGAGAGCTGCTTGTCACTATCCCCACAAGAAGACACTCGTGATAGAAACGAATTAGAACGTCCGCATGTGTTCAAACTATGCCTGAAGGATGCTTCAAGCGCGCCCAGCAAGCGCGTTAGGCTCAGCCGTCTTGATGTTCTGAAACAGATGTTCGATGCCTACATCAATCGACTACTTGCATACAACTACCAGACACGCATCGGCCTGGTCACTTTCAGCACCACGCCTTCTTTGCTACAACCTATCACCCATTCTGTTGAGAGTTTCCGTCATAAGCTCAACGACATGCGGGCTACTGGTGATACGGCCGTCTGGGACAGTATTTTACTTGCGCAAGATCAACTCCAAGAGTACGCGAAACAGTACCCGAATGCGAGATTGAGAATCGTTGTCATCTCTGATGGCGAAGACAACAAATCCAACAACCGGGCTCATGAACTGCCTTCGGGCCTTTTCCGAAAAGGTATCGTCGTGGACTCTTTCTGCTTGGGCACCGATGCCGATCACACTGATCTCAAGACAATATCCTACTTGACCGGCGGCTACGCGTTCCAACCAGAGAGTCTTGAAGACGCTGTGGCGATCTGTGAAATGGAGCCTGTCCTTTCCCTCTTGGAGCGTCCAGACAAGTCGCCGGCGAGGTCTGTGCGTCATACTTCGTTTATGGCGAACCCAAGCACTTACCAATTCCGTCTTGCCCAAGACATGGGTAAAGTCGAAAAGGTTAGTCGCGACGAATTTCCAGACCGTAAGCAACACCCGCAGCTCACTGAATCTTTTGTCGAGCTTGGCCACTTCAGCAGGAGCGCTTCAGTCACTCGTACCGACAACAATGTGCGCCTGAGCAGGATTCACAACGAAATTCGCAACTCAGGCGCAAAGCCGCACCCGCACTACGACGTCTACGTGTGCGAGTCGAACATGGGGCTCTGGAAGATTGCTATGCAAGGTAAGGCACGCGCTGGCGTCCTGTTCGAGAAGATGCTAATTATCAATAGGGCCACCTGATAGTACCTATGCTGGTGGAACTTTTCTTCTCTACCTGGAGATGGGCAACAACTATCCGAGGTCGCCGCCAGAAGCACGCTTCATCACACCCATCTACCACCCAAACATCAACCGTCATGGACGCATCTGTCATTCGATCTTGGACCGCAATTGGACGCTGGATACTTCTACCAAGGATGTTATCGATACCATCTACTCACTACTGCTCGTGCCTGAGTTCAGCGATCCTATCAATGCCGTCGTCACGCTCGACTACCATTGGGATGAGATTCAGTTCAAAGAAGAAGCGCAGAAGCATCTCGAGGAGCACGCAAGCATGACTAGGGAGGATTATCGTGACGAGATCGTGGGTGTTAGGTTTTAGGTGAAGGAGACATGAGAGGAGTAGTGGAGATCCTGAGAAGAAAGGGAGATTGAAGATTGTTGAAACGCAAATTGTAGCTGAGAATTGATACTGTGTAACTGTGAACCCAAGGATGAAGCTGTTTCGTCGTTCATTCATGTGTGTTGATGGCCGTGGCATGTAGTGAGTATCTAGAACACACGTGAACATATTGGCAAGACAGGACGTACCAGTGCGAAAGTGATGTTGAGGAAGAAAGCTCAAGGAACGCATGGTGGGTGCTCATGTTCCACTTGCGTAGCCGACATAGCACCCAGCCACCGGCTTCCATTCTCTTTCCAACTCCGCATATACTGGCTCATCGTTCAAGCTTCTATGTTGGTCATCGCATGAAGTTGAAAGCTGACACTTTAGCAATCCAATCTCGTCGCTTTATTGGGTATGCAGCACGATATGCAGCGTTATAACCGTGCGAATCAGCATTGATCTTCTCGCTCAGCCACTGTCGCTAGGACAGCGGAAGCTAGGGAATATATGCACCATATGTTACGCGAACGAATCTTTGTGCACGACCTTGTTCGAAAGAGGAGGCAGACTCTTCGTAGGCCTTCATCGACCCGGGTGAGCTGATCGCCTTGCATTGATTGCGCTCTGTGCCTGCATATCCGGCGATATTGGCATGTCAACAACCATCGGTCAACGTGAATAGGAAGAGAGATAATACTTGAGCTTGGATTTAGCCATTGTCACGAACTGAATACCTTTTGGCTCAATCCCACTTTCGCATCGTCCATCATGGCTTCCCTTCGCTCAATCATCGCGGCTATAGCTCTTTGTGCGACAGCGGCGGCCGCAACGTCAATCGACAACAAGACCTATGAGTACATCGTCGTAGGCTCTGGACCTGGCGGCGGACCGCTTGCATCCAATCTCGCTAGAGCCGGCCACTCCGTGTTACTTCTTGAAGCCGGAGATGACCAGACGGAGAACCTTAATGTTTCGAATTGGCTGAACTTCAACCTAGCTGGCAACGATCCCGCTACAGTAAGTCGAGACGACATCGTGAAAGATACACGACTAAGAGCATGCATAGCGCTGGGACTTCTTCGTGAAGCATTCCGATGACGAGGCCAGGGAAGCGAGGTATCTGCATCGAACGTGGCGTAAGCCTGATGGAGGGTTTTACGTCGGCATCGAGCCGCCTCAGGGCTCCGAAGCTCTTGGAATCGTAAGCATGGGCCCATTCAATATACCAGAGCAGGTACTGATTATAATTCGAGTACTATCCGCGCGCGGGCACTTTGGGTGGTTGTGCGATGCACAACGGCTGCTTGACCATGAACCCCAACGATGCAGACTGGGACGAGATCGCGCAAATGACCGGAGACGATTCATGGTCGCATGAGAATATGAGGAAGTATCTTATCAAACTCGAGAAGGTGCACTACAACAGCACATACGAGCATGGTCACGACGGCTGGCTCGACATGACCATGCTAGACCCAGGCTACACTACCAGTGCGGATGCCAAACAGCTCAGTGAACTCGCTGCAGAGGCCGCCGGCTACCCGTCCTCTTCCGCTTCGACGTTGCTCCAGCGAGATATGAATGGTGCGCAGCCAGATCGCGACCAGCTCGTTGGACCTTTCGGCGGTGTCAGCCACATCAACCCCAATGGACGTCGGTCGTCTCCGGGGTACTACGCCAGAGACACTGCTGCTTCTGGCAAATATCCGCTGACTATCTCACTGGATACACTTGCCACGAAGATAATTTTCGACAAGGTCTCTCCGGGACCACCCAGAGCAGTCGGTATCGAGTACCTGCAAGGTAAGAGCTTGTACAGTGCTGATCCTCGTTCCAATGCCGATTCCAAAGGCGTCGCTGGGAAAGTCTTCGCGTCCAAAGAGGTCATTGTTTCTGGTGGCGCATTCAATTCACCGCAACTGCTTATGCTTTCTGGGATTGGCCCGCTCGATCAACTCACGAAGTTCAATATCTCGCCCGTGGTAGAGCTGCCGGGTGTGGGTAGGCAGATGGCCGACAACTATGAGGCTGGTATCTTGTCACTCGGTAAGCGTGCCGTTACTGGTATGTCGGAGATCTTCCCCAATTTCTGGAAGACGTCAACTTCGCAACTGGGCATTCGCGACATTTACATGTGGTGTGGGTCATTCGCATTCGAGGGTTTCTGGCCAGGGTAAGCATCCACATCCTTCTCTGAGGATGCACTAATGATATCGATAGCTTTCCCAATCGACCCCCGTACTTCAATGAGACCTATGGCCCGTCACAATACGAATGCGCAATGGTCCACATGAATCCGCGTTCGCAAGCTGGCACGGTCGAACTTCGATCCGCTAATCCGCGCGACATGCCAGCCATCAACCTCAACTTCTTCAAAGACGGTGCAGAGGAAGATCTCCAAGCCATCTACGAAGGTGTCGAGTGGGTACGTTCCTGGCTGTCAAAAGTGGACCCGTCTGCACCTGATTCGCTGGCACCCTTCGAAGAGCTCCACCCCTGCAAGGGTACCATTGGGAAGCAGAATTGTACTGTTGAGAGCCAAAAGACATTCATCAAGGAGCAGGCGTATAGTCATCACGCGAGTAGCAGCTGTAGAATCGGTGCCGATGGAGACAAGTTCGCGGTACTAGATAGTAAGTTTCGAGTGAGAGGAACGATGGGTCTACGAGTCGTGGATGCGAGCGCCTTTCCGAAGGTGCCTGGGGGGTTTCCTATATTGCCTACTATGATGATTAGCGAGAAGGCTACCGAGGATATACTCTCTGGTTTGTAAGGTCGCGTACATACTTAACTCGCCTGCGCATTCAAGACAACCAGTAAATTGTTCGCGGACGAGTTCGAATTTACATGCTTTGCTTTGGGGCTGCTCGTCAGTAGAAAGTCTGCGGGCAGCATAGATAGCAATGGTCAGTCTGCTCAGCTGCGACCCCATGTAGTGCCTAAGTCTAGAGATCGCGATCTCGGAGTTCGCAGCCCGCACAGTCGGACCTTCTTGTCCGACCCAGCATGCGACCGCCGTACTTGCCCATCCAGCGTCCTGTCGCGTGGACCTACTGCATCGGGATTTCGCGAAGACACTTACATTTTCAATGAATAGACGATGGAAGAACAGTGCAGCGTCCAGAGATGGTAGCTGTCATACACGCGGTGCATCGTGCCCAGAGGACAAGGTGCGTGGAGAAGTGGGGCAGGCTAACCAAGGAAGGCGCGACAGTCCCGCGGCCTCTTCTTATCGTGTTGATAACAACGTTCAAGACTGAGTTGACAGATGGGAATGATACAATGCGTTAATGACTTGACCGATTCGCCAATAGGCCGTGATTCGATTCGAAGGAAGATATCTGAGATCGCGCTGCGATGCCGTTAGACCGTTGATCTGCCTCCAGTATATAAGACCCCGCTGGACCCTGACAGCTTGGAGTGATCAACCTTATCCGACCACCCTCACAACCTATTCATACTATGGCGCTCGACCGATTGAAGCAAGCAGCCTCGCATATTACGGGAATTGGAGAGCCTCCACACCCATTTGATCCTTTGAGCGAATCAGAGATTGAACGCGCAGTCGCTATCATCCGAAAAGAGCACAGCGATGTGTTTTTCAACGCCATCACCTTGTTGGAGCCGCGTAAAGCGGAGATGATGAGCTGGCTGAAAGATCCCGAGCATACACCAAGACCACATCGAGTTGCTGATGTAGTTTGCATCGGCCGAGGCAGCAAAGTGTACGATGGACATGCAGATTTGACCGAAGGCAAGATCATTAGCTGGGCGCTGACTGATGATGTTCAGCCACTTGTACGTTAGAGAGTGTGTGAGTGCGGATTTGGCCCTGCTGATTTGGATCTAGATTACAATGGAAGACCTGCAGATTGTTGAGACGATTGTGCGGAAAGATCCAAAGGTCATTGAACAATGCGGCCTGATCGGCATTCCACCAGAGGACATGCATAAAGTGTACTGCGATCCCTGGACAATTGGTTACGATGAGCGATTCGGCACCAAAGTTCGTCTTCAGCAGGCGCTCATGTACTATCGCCCACATCCCGATGACTGTCAATACACGTACCCATTGGACTTCTGCCCAATCTACAACTCCGACACCCAGGAGATCATTCACATTGACGTCCCACCAGTTCGTCGACCGCTGAATCAGGCCCCGCCAAACAACTATCACGCAGCTGCTATCGAGGCTGAAGGTGGTTTCAAGACAGATTTGAAGCCCATCAACATCACGCAGCCGGAAGGCGTCTCATTCAAGTTAGACGGACGATACATCAGCTGGGCGAACTGGAAGTTTCACATCGGCTTCAACTACCGTGAAGGCCTCGTTCTGTCCAACATCACATTTGACGACAAGGGCACCGTTCGCGACACCTTCTGGCGCCTATCGCTCGCAGAGATGGTCGTGCCTTACGGCAACCCAGAACACCCACATCAGCGCAAGCACGCTTTCGATCTGGGAGAATACGGCGGAGGCTACATGACCAACTCACTTAGCCTGGGCTGTGACTGCAAGGGTGCGATTCACTACATGGACGCTGCTTTTGTCAACCGCGCCGGCCAGGCTACAACGATCAAGAATGCTATCTGCGTTCACGAGGAAGATGCTGGTATCCTGTTTAAGCACACGGATTTCCGCGATGACAGTGTTACGGTTACTCGTGCTCGCAAACTTATCATCTCGCAAATCTTCACAGCTGCAAACTACGAGTACTGCGTATACTGGATATTCCACCTTGACGGAACCATCCAGCTGGAGATCAAACTCACTGGAATCTTGAACACCTACGCGATGCTCCCAGGTGAAGACCTCAAGGGCTGGGGAACCGAGGTGTACCCCGGAGTGAACGCGCACAACCACCAGCATCTCTTCTGCATGCGCATTGATCCAAACATTGACGGACCGGAGAACACCGTCTTCATGGTCGACGCGATGCGTGGAGAAGGCGAAGTTGGCAGCGCAGAGAACAAGTACGGCAACGCTTTCTACG